GTTTCAGGTTATTTGTAGTCGTGGTGGTGGTGGTTTGTAGTGCTGGATTTTTTTGGGAGAGCATCACATTTATATTAGTACTGTAATTCTGTACATACTGCCATATTTATATTCCACTGATAATTCTGTTTATATTTATACCGTTCATTCTGTTCATCCAGCCATATCTGCCATATTTATACTCTTTATATAGCCTAGATTGCCACTGCCTGTTTTTATATTTTATATTTCATGTTTAATGCTGTTTGCACCGGGGATAAGAGGGAAACACTATTTCAATTCTCTGTATGTCCTGAACATGTGGCATTATTGATAATAAAGTTGACTTGACTTGAAAACATTTAGTCTGTTTTCAGTGGGCAGACTAGTCCAGAATAAAGCTGATCTGAAAAATGGACAGCAGCCTCTACCAAGAGAGGAGACATGCAGTGTCTTGTTTTCTGTTTGATAAAAAAGATGTGACATATGGATGTGAAGGACTTGGGTTGGTTAAAGGCACCTTTATTGGAGCTGACAGCTGAGTAATAATAAGTATGTTAACATAAGATTTTTCCTATGTTGCTGATTAATAACATAGTAGTTTAATTACTTTAAATGTGTAATGAGCAATTAATAACTGTAACGTGCCCAACACAGATAATGGCACTAAAACAATCATTTTAGCTTTGATTCTTGAGAAACAGAGATGGAATTGTTAATACACAGGAACTATACTCAGAAAGTCCTGATGTAACATACACTAATGAACATGTTTGATGAGCATACATCACAATTAAGTGTCATATGCTCTGACTGATTCCCTTTGACCTTAAATAGTACAAAATAGATTTTATTCTGCTCCTTTAATTGAAAAAGACATTCTTATTTTGAGACTCACCTTCTCAGCATACTCAGAGGCAATCTGTTTGATTTCTTCAGACTGCAGTCCAACTATCTGACCCACTGCACTGGCTGTCAGCTTCCCCTGCAGAATCACAAATCTCAGTCACTCACAACCACAAATCACTGAACATTTAGTTGTTCAGTTTACAGTGAATGCAATCATACAAAACCTTCAATTGCCAAGACCTGCATTTAACAAGCATCACAGAGCAGGAAATGTCTCTTTGGCCAAAAGGGCTCAAGAATAATACATTTTTGATTCTATTGTCAGGAGTATTTTTAGATTTGTTTTTACTTAGATATGTGGGAGAGCCCCAGTGGGACCCTCACCTGTGACCTAGAGTTACAATGAGATGGCTCTCAGGTAGAAATATTCCATGAGAGGATAGATGCTTTGGGAACTCTTGATGACACTAAGCTTGTTAAAACCTTTTTTTTTTTTTTGGAGACTTAGGGCGGGATACAGCAAGTTTTTGCTGATGGGACCATGTAAAATATTACAGTACAACAGTTGATTTTGTCAGATCCAACAATTCTTCAACTCAAAACACTTTGTTTGTGTTCATGCATAATGTGGATGATGAGTCCTTAGTGAGAGTGGTCACTTACATAGTGAAGGAAAGTGCAATTTAAATTACACAGGTCCAGATTAAAAGAGGAATAATGTGGTTATTCATTTCTGACAAGTCAGTCAGTTTAGAAAAAACAAAAAAAAAGATTGATGTCTACCTCTTCATTCACCATAGCAGCCATGCTGGTCATCAGAGTACTGATTCGCATCTAAGAGAAAAAAACAAAATTTCATTATAAACATTTCACTGTACTTTATAGAACGATCCAAGATCCAGATGGTACAAACGCAGTTTTGTTCTACTCTCCCCATGGAAACACGAATTGTTATAATGCATTCCCTTAACCAGGAGTTGCAAATAGGCAGACAAGGGTCTGGATCTGGACCCAGACGCCATCCTATCTGGACCCGGATGTATAACAGATAATTGAGCTAGTCAAAGTTTGACAGAGCATTTCTATATGAACAGATGCAGATTTATTGCACTGGTTTAGCAGCCTCAGCAAATGACAACCAAATCCTTTACCGAACTTGGTGTGAGGAGAGGAGGAGGAATAAACAGTGAGTAAAAAGTAAGTCCGAGAAAATGGCATGCTCTAAAAAGAAAAGTAGAAAATCTAGACTGGACAGACTTTTATTGTTCATTCTTCTGACGGGCAGTATGTCTCTAATATCACAATGAAAAACAAAGCAAACAAATAAAACAACACTACACTATTTCAGCCCAGATTTGAAATATTGTTCAAATATCATTGCATTATACTTGGTTTGATTTGACAGTTCGTCAAATATGCACTGCTCAAAAACTTCATAAGTCACAGTATAACACCAAGTCAGTTAAACACTTAAGGGATATCAAAACATACATTATTTAGTAAGTTATTTTCATCATTTCATTAGTAATTAGTATTACTCTTATTTGTACATTAACTACTTCTACGTTAAACTTCAGGGATATCAACTCCCAAATAAATAATTTCACTTTCAGTTTGAATTCAGCCCTCAATGGGTTGACGATTTTGGTTTCAATTTGGTCATTTTGTTCTTAACAAATTATACAATGTCAGTAAAGATTTTCAACTTCAATAATTTGTTCATCATAATTTTTTTGAGCAGTGTACTAATAAGCCCTTTCAATCTGTTAATGAATGTGACCAAAAAAACAGGCAACATGTACTATAAAATTTCTGAATGTATTGTCTGTTATATGGGAATTAATGTGCCCTATGTTTACCTGGTGTAACCTGTTATTTGTGTTGGTTCTGCACCAATGCTATCAACAAATAGTTTTGGTGTACTTATGGGAACCAAGTGATTGTAGAACTGTTTGACACAGTGGAAGGCATAACATGGTGTAAGTGGACTAAAGATTAGACCACAGTGAACTGCTCACCTCCTCCAATTGTTTAGTCTTTTGCTGGATCTGTTTGGTCAGCGTGGCGACTGCCCTGTGGTGTTGCTGCAGTGGACCGTAGAGCTCTGAACGCTCCTCGGAGTTCAGCTCTGACTGCTACGCACACAATTGTTACAATAAGGTATTATAACAAAAAAGAAATGTTAATAGAAAAAACACATAAATGTTTGAGCTGAGTCCACACAGGTTGTTGAACAGGCGTTTGTAACCAATATAACTGTATTTTACACCTCTTCATGTTAGTTTTGATCACATTAACCTGTTTTAGCTCCCAGTGTTTCGCTGTGAATTGAATTTAAGTACTCAGTTAGTTGAAATCAGCATACAGACTATCTTTATCCACTCAATAACACATCACTTAACACATTACAGTACAGCAGTTACTTTTAAAAATGAGTCGTTTAGGGATTACAATTCGTTGTGGCCATTTATACTCTTAATTCTGTTTTTATCTGCCATATTTATATTTATACTGTAATTCTGTCAATACTCCCATTATCTGCCATATTTATACTCTTTATATCATCTAGATTTGCCACTGCCTGTTTGGGAGAGCATCACATTTATATTAGTACTGTAATTCTGTACATACTGCCATATTTATATTCCACTGATAATTCTGTTTATATTTATACCGTTC